AGGAGCTAACATTTTTAAAATTTTATTAAATATTTCAAGCACACACATTTGTTAAAGAGGTCAGAGATATCAAATGCTATAAGTATTCATTTAGCTGTTTACATTTTAATGTGTTTTTACCTTGTCAAAAACTTCTTCCTTCACTTAGTATTTACTGTCATGACTTGATCATGCAAATAGTTCATTTTCCATTTTCCAGTTTTAAAGTCTGTGACCTACCTGCTCACCTTTCTAGCAAAAGTGCAGCATTAACGCAACAGGCTGTATTCCACAGTACAATTAATGTTTGCATAAAAGTAAAATCACACCGAATGTCTGTTGGTGAATTAAGTTTAAAAGAATGTTTAGGCTGTGTTCAACAAGCAGGCACAGAATGATCATACTTTTATAGCTGTGTGTCATAGCCTCTATTACAAAAAAATGCATGTTTTATTATACTAATTACAGCCCTCCCCAAAAAATTGTAGTTAGTAGGAATAAACAAAATGGTATTAAACAAAGAACTAGTGCATGAAATTGTGACATGGTTTGCTCATGTTTTTATTCTGGTGTCTTATTTTTTTAATTTTTTGTTCTTTCCTTTTCTATTGTGGAGTAATTCTTCTTTAGTTGATTAGAGTAATGAAACCCCTTTCTCCCATGGTCAGAAAACCAGTTATAAGAACCTTGAGTACCACTTCCTTTGTTAATTTCCCTTAAGAAGGACTTTTTTGAACCACTGTATTGGAAGATAAAGCAGTTTTTGTTTGTTCATAGCACATCCTATCTAATAATAGACAAACATGGTAATTGACCTTACCTTTGCTATGCCTCCCATTGGCTAATCAGCATGATATGCAAATTAACTGTGAACAAAGATGGCGGCTAATTTGCATACTGCAGACAGGGCTGGACAGCGCCATCCCGCCTGCCCTGCCGCCATCCGAGCCTGCTATCTGCGACCTGGGGCAGCGGGTGTCCATGTGCAACCCAACCCGGGGCAGCCGGGCGGTGTAGCAGCGATCGGCCAGCCCACCTGGCCTCCATCCGGGCATCCCGTGTGCGACCCGACCCGGGGCGGCACCCCAACCCCTGGATTGGCCCTGCCGTGTGTGTGACCCGGGGAGGAGGGGCAGGCACCGAGGGATTAGGCCTGCCATCTGCCACCCAGGGAGTGGGCCTAAGCCAGCAGGATGGTTATCTCCTGAGGGGTCCCAGACTGTGAGAGGGCACAAGTGGGGCTGAGGGACTTTTTTTCCAAGGGATCGGGCCTGCCATCTGCCACCCCAGGAGTGGGCCTAAGCCAGCAGGTGGTTATCTCCCGAGGGGTCCCAGACTGTGAGAGGGCACAAATGGGGCTGAGGTACCACCCCCCCACCACTGCACAAATTTTTGTGCACCGGGCCTCTAGTCTATACTAATAAAAGCGTAATATGCTAATTAGACCCTACAGCCAAATGACCTCCTGGATGTCATTCCAGATATCCTTCTGGACAAAGCCACATGGTGGAGGCTGAGGCAGAGGCAATTAAGGGCTATCAGGCCAGCAACAGAGCAGATAGGGGTGATCAGGCAGGCAGGCAGAGTGGTTAGGGGTGATCAGGCAGGCCAGCAGAGGGATTAGGGGCGATCAGGCAGGCATGCAGGCGAGTGGTTAGGAGCCAGCGGTCCCGGATTGCGAGAGGGATGTCCAACTGCAAGTTTAGGCCTGATCCTGCGGGCTCAGGCCTAAACCAGCAATCAGACATCCCCTGAGGGGTCCTGGATTGGAAAGGGTGCAGGCTGGGCTGAGGGACCCCTCCCACACCCGTGCACAAATTTCGTGCACAGGGCTTATAGTAAAATCTATAATGACCTTTGAAATGTCCTTAATTTTGCTAATATTTAGCTATTCAGAATTTGTCGGTTAAATTTAAATGTCTGTCTGGTGGGATCGTTGAGCTGACAGCTAACAGCATGATGCTCACAGTGTGTCTGCCTCATCCATGAGTGAGGTTCAAAGTACCCTCCTAGGGAACGTTTCCTCTTTGATTTATACCTAATCACATGTTTGTTTCACTTGCATTAAATGAATGATACAGATGTAAAGTGAATGTGATGGAATAGTATTCTATATTCTATGAGCAGTAGCTTTTGCTTTACAAAATCAGCATCCCTTGGTTTGTCCTCAGCTAACCCAGCAAATGAAAGTGATCAGACCTGGTTGATCCTTACTCTCATTTGGCATTGCCCTTTCCCTTCCTGCCACGAAAATGGCTAATGATCTCCCTGCATTAAATCTGTGACCTTTGCAAACCTAAGATTAAATACTTTACTTTTAGATATTATATATATGAAACAATTCCAAATTTTAAAGCTACATCAACTTATTAATGCATAGAAAATAGATACATAATAACTAAATGTTCTTTTCTTAAATTTTCAGGATAAATGAATTGAAGTGATGGACTCTGACTTGCAGAGTAGTAAGATGTGAAAGGAATGCACTTCTGTTTAAGGACCCTGACCTTGACTCACTCACTGTTCAAGAGAAGAAAACAAGAAAAGTGAATCTCATCTATAAGAGAAAGTAAATCATTGACTTTTAAATGGTTATTACAGTTAAGTATCTATTCAAAACATTTGTGATTTAGTTAATAAAAGTATTAATGATCTGTGTTGTGTGCCCAATTGAGATCCAGTTTTTTATTGTTATTTTTCTTCAATTAGGGGCAAAAATAGAGGGGGCAACTTCCAAATGATGCCTTTTTCAGATCCTAGGACCTTTTGACTCTAGGTCACCAGTGTAAATTGGTTCAAGATGAAAATTACCTGGCACTAACCTGATGGTTACACAGAGATGTCACTGAAAAATGGTGGCTTCCATCGAACCTCAGGAAACTGAGGTTCACAGCCACTTTGGCAGTTATGGTGTTAGCCAGATATGGGTCTGCCATTCTAGGTCAAGGACAGCAAATTAAGTAAAGACAGGAATTTAGTTGGAAACATTTGTGTGTTGCTTTTGTGTGATGTGATACTCTTGGAGATCATGGTGTTCACTCTTGGGTGTTGCCATTCACACATTCTTCCTTCAACAGATTTAGGGTAATTTTTAAAAATATATTTTTATTGATTTCAAAGAGGAAAGGAGAGGAAGAAAGAGATAGAAACAATGATGAGAGAATCATTGATCAGCTGCCTCCTGCATGCCCCCTACTGGGGATTGAGCCTGCAACTTGGGCATAAGCCCTGGACCTGAATGGAACCTGGGACCTTTCAGTCCGCCAGCCCACATTCTATCCATTGAGCCAACAGGCTAGGGCAGATTTAGGGTAATTTTATTGATGAATGT